GTGGAAGATTTGCATTTAAAAGCAAAATTATCTAACAGTCATTTCGTTTTTGCTTAAAAATTTGATAGCCATCCATAGATACAATTAAAGCAACATCTCTATAATCTAAAAATAAGCCTGTGCTACTAAAGTTTTATATCTATTACCATTAAAAACATCCCCAATTTTGCTATTCTTAGAAGTATATTCTTTTCTTGATGTATATTCATACCGATATTTAAGATCTTTTGCTCATGATAGATTTTTATATTGTAATTTTAAGCTATCTGTTATTAAAAAATATGCTAATTGTTTTCGAGATTTTTTAGATTTTTTTTAGTTGTATATTGTGACTCTTTATATATAGGACATGTATTAAGATTAGCATTTTGTTCAGTAAATGCATAGCAAGAATTCCAACAAATATCTATAAGCTTTGATTTTAGTAAAACCAAATTTCCTAAAACTTTTCGAAGCTGATAAAGAGAAACATTAGAAATATTAAAAATTTCTAATATTTCATTAAATGTTTAATCAGAAATTATATGTTTATCTTTGATATAAAGAAGCTGAAGCCCTTTAATTATTTTATTTGATAAATCTAAAATATAAAAATATTAATATAAAAATTTTTAAAGAAACATTTTTTAAATAAAATATTAAAAAATAATTACTATTAAATTCAACATTATCAAAATTCTCTTCTGATTCAAAATTTATTTTTTCACTATTTTCTGATTCATTCTCCTCCAATTCATCCTCCTCCAATTCATCCTCCTCTAATTTATCCTCCTCTAATTTATCCTCCTCCAATTCATCTTCCTCTAATTCTCCTTCTCTAATTCATTCTCCTCTAATTTATCCTCTTCTAATTCCTTCTCTTCTAATTTATCCTCCTCTAATTCATCCTCTTATACTAACTTTAAACTCTGCCAAGAAAAAACCTTCAAAATCAAACTCATGTTCAACTTACTACCCACACTATCAAATCTACACACATTATATCCTCAGTACTTTCCAGATATCAACTGTATCTCATGTAATTCACATGAAAG